TAATTACTGGAGGGCTGAACTGAAATAGGTTAGAAAACGAGAAATCCTTGATCCTTTGTCTGTGCATCGCAGCAAGGATGACAATGACTCTGGGTAACTACAAGTGCGCCACACTTCCATGATACCCCGATGGTTTTCCCAGTGTCATAATGCCATGGTGGGTGAATAATTCTATTCACGCACACATTTTATTCACCCCCACATGGTGGGTGACTAAAATGTTTCGAAATGTGTCACAAGAAAAGTGCAGTGCGCAGGCTGTCAAAAAGCTACCAGCCTATGCACAAAGTGAATGATGAGTAGTGAGTAGGACAAAACGTCCATCCGTCCACCCGTCCGTTCATCCATCTGTCTGTCTGTCTGTCCGTCCGTCCGTCCGTCCAGCCGTCTGTCTGTCTGTCTGTCTGTCTGTGATGGACAGACGAACGAATGGACGTTTCGTCCAATCCATCATCATTCAGTCCATGCATATGCCTTTAAACTTTACTCAAAAACTACTAATGTCATCTACTAATATTGCTTCCGAGGACATGTACACACAGCTCTATCTAGTGAGCAATTCCTAAAACTAACTAGCAATCGCTACTACTACAACATATTAACTGTACTACAACGAGGGAACGACCCAAACCCTAAGGAGCTTCACCCACAAAATATGCTTCTTCAAGAACAACAGTCGAATGCCACACCGCAGCGGTGGTCTAGTGGCCAAGGTACTCGGCTGCTGACCCGCACGTCGCGGGATCGAATCCCGGCTGCTGCAGCTGCATTTCCGATGTAGGCGAAAATGTTGTAGGCCTATGTGCTCAGATTTGGGTGCACGTTAAAGAACCCGAAGTGGTCGAAATTTGCGGAGCCCTCCACTATGGCATCTCTCATAATCATACGGTGGTTTTGGGACGTTAAACCCCACATATCAATCAACAGTCGAGTGCCTGGCACTTAGACCTACTGTGCTTTATGACTGCCTCACAAATTAGTCGACAGCCTGACACGCTGAGCATACACGAGATGAACGAATATATCTCAGTTTAAAGGGCCATCGTAATAACCAACTCATTTTCTGAATGATGTCAACGTAAAGCATCACTACTCGGTCATTTACGGAGGCAAGGTGATACGATGTCAGTGCATGCGCGCTGACGGCAGCTTAATTAGGCAAAGTCTATCCTCACGAAGGAAAAAACTTCGATTTCCACATCTTTATTTCTATCATTTTGACGTCCCTCTCCTCATGTCTGAAGGTGCTGAGCTGTGTCCCCTGATGGGAGGGAGAAGATAAAGTCCTTTTCTTTTCTTCCCCTTCCATTATTATCTCTCACTTTCCCCCTTTATATTTGGTGGCAGTTCAAAAAACACGGTTTCTTACAATCATCCACGTCATACGTGTTGTTATCCCAGACGCTGCTCTTAGCAGTAACACTTCCTGTCTTCTACGCCTTTTGGTTGGATGTTCTGTGAGTAGTTAACAGAGTGAAATCCCATTATATGGTAAAAATACCATGACGCATTACCCGCTCACACAGCACAACACATATATGTGTCACGGACGTTTGCCATGTGATATATAACAAAGCTCGGTATTCAGTCGTTCTTTAACCAAAGAGTTCTCTAACAATGTTGTCATTATTTTTTGCAAATACTCAACGAAAGTTTGACAGGCAGTATTTATAAACAGATTAGAAGACCTGTGTAATTCTGCTTAATGCTTAATTCTGGTTTACATTTACTAACTTAGTCTCTCATACAATGATGGGTTATTTTAACGCAAAGAACATGGGTGGAGCACCATCGTGGGTGGAGCGCCTAGACCATGGAGCGCCCGATTGGCGGAAGCCGCGGACAATGCGCCCAGGGTTGGCAACGAGGCGCTATACAAGCCGAAGGCTTTTTGTATATTTCCAGTTGTAAAGTTCAACAGTTTTTATGTACAGTTCCTGACTTCTACTTGATCACTTGATCACCTCTTTTCTAACTCTCAGTTACTAATTATGTAAATAAATTGTTGTCGTTTTTACGAGCACCTCATCTGACTTGTCCGACGATGGGTCCTAGGACGGGGGCCCGCTACCAAACTGGGACCCGCAGGACCCGGAGTCGCAACAACTGGATGGCAGCGGTGGGATAGTGTCAACCCAGGTCGCAAAACCCAACACATGCTGCTCTGCGTGAAATGGATGCCTCAATTTTATGCTCCCAAATTTCTCGATTTAGTCGTTATAGCTACCCCTTTGTCATCCTCGCCAGTGCTTTCTGCCCCAGCATTTTAATTGATTATCAATTGTCTGTTCTGATTACATGATCTGCGGAGCGGTATTCGTTTTATGCTAACATGATAAAAATAGGCTACCTATGTATGGTCTATGATTTAAACTCTTATTGCCACTTCTATAATGCTTCGTTTCATTGAACGCATTGCGGTCATTACTTTGTTTGTGCACTGCATGCATCTGTACACATGACGCTTGTAAAGCCTATGCTGCACATACATTGACAACGCGATGGACTGCGTTGTTGATATGTGTGAGTGACAACGCGGCACATCGTTAGCTCTAGCGAGCGATGTGCTAGGACTGATAGCAAATGACTAAAACAGTTTGACTAATAGGCCTCCAGTAGCATGCTTTAAGCAGCAAACCACCCCACAAAGAGCAGCACCAAAACCCACCTATTCAGTGGCAGCATACCCGGCCAAATGCTATGGTCGTTTTCATGCTGTTTAGTAGGGAGCACTGCAATCGCGAGCGCGCAAGCGGGCATATCACGTGTTTCTGTCTGCATTCTGTAGTTTGCAGGTACTTGAGTCAGCACGAAAACAATAATACTTAGTACATGTGAATTTTTCAATTATTTTTTCCCAGCATTGTATCTTCAAAGCTGGTTGGGTACACTTGAATAATTAAACAAGATAAAAAATAAGCTTGAGTGTCTCCATGAAATGGGCATAAGCAGTCATTTGTTTGCATCGGTTTATTTTAAAGCTTTGGCTGGTGTTAGGGCATTCAGTGAACTGACAAAAAAAAAAAACAAAAAAAAACCACCCGGCCTGCGTAGAACGCGGAGCACAGTCAGAGTGACAGCTCGAAGAGCTGCCTTTCATGGCGTTTTTTGGGTAACAGCTGCCACCTACTGGGTAATCACTACTCCATAAACAATCACATTTTTGGGTTGTAGGTCTGCCTTCACCATACTATCCTTCGTCAATATTACAGGGAGCGTGATATTTTCTACAGACCTGCTAGACTTGCTAAGTATTTATAGTGTTAGTAAACGTTTGTCGCGAATGTTAGTGAGTTAACCAATAATGGTTCTTGGTTGTCGGCAATGTTTTTATACGCTTGAAGTGTTTTCTAGGCCAGTTAGTGAAAACAAGCTTTCTCACCAACAATCCTGTGCCATGCAACGACTGCTGCCTATTGACGCAGATGCGTCTGTGAGACAATTACCAATATTTACATGTGTGATAACGACTTATTTGACGTTTACTTGGAGTAGTTGAAGCTTGATATAAAATCGTTACATACACCTACTTTCAGTATATAAACAGCAGTGCTCACCAGATCTTACCAGAAGGCACGTGCCTTTGATTTGCAGCGCTGTGCACTGAATGTATGACGAAGTCGTATTGGACAGTTTTGGAAAGCTGTATTGATGCTGTTCATGTGATTTGGTAAAACTACAGCTTTCGCTAGAATTGTGTTTCGTGTTTCATCTGGTTTTCTTGTTAACGGACGTTCGCAGGTTGGTTGTTTGGTTGCGGAACTTTATTGCAGTCCTGCAAGGCGTGCGTGAGTGCGCATAGAGCGACTCCTACGTCGGGACCGTTAGGCCGAGCCTATCAGCCGCTCCGCGGGCCTGCTGGGCGGTCCAAAGTTGGTCGGCCAGGGAGGAGCTGTGCATGACCACCTCCCACCTGACCGAAGCAGTGTCGGGGTTAGTGTACATTGCCTGCCACAGCCAGAGCATGTGCACCAGCGTGGATTACAAAAACGTACAAAAATATGAGCACACTAAATTCACGCCTGAAGTCGTGTTCCAACACTCGATAAAAGTGTTTAAGTACATGCTGTCGAGTTTCATCATCATGCTCTTTGAGTGTGGGCAGTACACTGAACGAACAGTTCCTGTAAGAACTATGCTAATGCGCATGCAACAGCATTCAGGTGAAATATGAAAATTCCTTCATTTACCGTTGGAAAAAAGGATTGCAATTAAAAATTTAGAATTAAAAAACTTCTAATTCCAGAGTAATTATGGAGCATGGATATTTTGCAATTCTTCGATAAAAAACTTTTGAGCCTCGACATATTTTCAGGTTCCATATTCCACACTGGAACGAAAACCATTTTCAGGTGGGTTGTGAAACGGCGTACCACATGCGGCTTGCTCAAATAGCATCGCTGCTGAAATAGGGTGTCACAAAGGAGAAGACATGACCTAAATGGAAATGAAATCAATAAGACAAATGAAATAAATTATTCATGCCATCTCTCTAACGAAACACCACAAATTACATCTCATCACAACCATAGTGCCGCGTACGAACCCCTCTGATACTTCTGCATTTTAGTGAAGTGCTGCAGCCATATCACCAGTTTTGCGCGAAGCACGAACTGCAGCTTCCTAGCCTGTATTTGTTGCAACACTGCTTACGCTGGTGCAGTTTGTCCTGCTGTTGTTCGAACGGAACTGTATCTCGGGACCCAGTGTTTGCAATATAGTATAAGGAATGCTTCAAGCCATTTTCTCTAATGTGTTGAATGCACTCAAGCGATAAGGTAGTGCAACGAGAGAAAGATGTAGAACATCAGCAGGGGTCCTCAGGTCACCAATGCGAAAGGTTGCACGCACCCTGTCATTTGTTTTGCAAACATTCAACTATATTTGTTGCCTGGGCACAGTGTGGCTTCCAAAGATAAAATAGAAGAGGAGGCAACACTCTTTTACACTGGGGATTCAGCGCTCCACTGTTTTCTCATCATTTATTGATTCGAGGCTGATTCTCTGATTTCTTGATTTTATTTATTTCAATGAAGCTGCATACAATGTACAATGCAACGTATGACCAGCGCAAGGCATCACGCAGATAAACGTCTCATTCTTCCGCACTTTCCTCGTTTCTTCCAAATGCCTGTGAAAGTGCATTAGCGGCATTTTCGACTACTCCAGGAGGAATGGCGCCAGCACTGTTCGGTGCAATGATCAGCGTAACTGAAACGCAAAAAAGCAGTGATTAGACAATATATATATATATATATATATATATATATATATATATATATATATATATATATATATATATATATATATATATATATATATATATATATATATATATATATATATATATACACAAGTGCGAAAACTTTGACATCCCATCTCTTTCTTATTCGTACAGTTTCTATTTCCTTTTGCCAGCGTTATAACTCAGAATAAATATTTTGAAAAGCCGAACTCACAACAATGCAATAATTTGCCCAGCAATGCATGGGTCTATCACAGCTAACTGGATAGCATTTTTTTATTTCTCTAAAGAGCTGGGTTGTTATTTGTAGGCACCATTCAGGCTATTTGAAACTTCAGCGTGTTTTTCGCACCATTTCCGACATGGCGCGGAAAGTGCATCGTCTCGCCACGTCTTGCACTCCAAGTGATAATAACTGCTGCGCAGCCGCTATCTCGTGATGGGTCGGTTCGTGCCACAAGTACTTTTATGGTAAGTGCGCGTTGAAGTTGCCCAGAGAGTGCAAAAGTGCCTTCGCTAGCTGCGGCTATAATGTTTGCGATATGAGTATGCTAGTCGCGTTCAAAGAAATAACCACTATGACGGTTGTTAATACGCGCTCGTCCTGTATATTCCTGTGCGTTTGTTTGGTGCGTCTTTTGTGTATGACCAGAGTGGTTTAAGTGTCGAACTGTGGCAGTTCTTAGTTCGCGCTCGTGCTATGTAGGTATTTTTCGTGCGTAATTTCTTGAAATGCTTGCCGCACTGCTTCGTGAGCTTCTGGATGCTGGCCGTCCTTTACGAGACATGACAATTGTTCGTTATACCATTGATTTCTTATCTCTTGTGATGAAAAAACTTTGCGTACCTGTGTGAAGACAGGCGCAACTACATGGGTTAAGGCAGACAGTGGCTGCAGCGGACAGCTGTAGGCGCTGTCTATCCAGTCAGCCGAAGAAGCCAAGAGAAAAGTTTGCCACTCGTTCCTGACCTACTGAGGCTGTATACAATATAGCTTTCCTCGTAGTATGAGCTTTGCATAGAATGTATTTTTTATCGTGGGTGCAATTTACTACTTGAGGCAGACGGAATTTTTCATATTGTACACTTTTCCAGTAAATCACTCGTGAGGTACGATGGGATGTCCACTTGTCCATACTTCTATATATAGCTCATAGTTCTTATTGATATAGAATTTGTGAAGTTACCAAGCGCAGCAGCAAGCCCACAAGGAAGTACTTGGCAAAGATGCTGTCCATGTCTTGAACTGCAAAGATCTAACAGAAAATGTGTTTATGGGCAAAACTGTGCATATTTGATAAGTACTTAGGTTCGGCAAGCCTTAACACACTGTCCTTGTACTCAAGCAACAAGAAACTAATTTCAACAAAGTTAGCATGTCAAAAAAGCAATAGAATATCCCTATCAGCATAACAATGATTTTTCCAATACCCGTGTACCCGTGTGCTGTAGAATGTTGCGATATAATAGATCGACCGTAAAAGTATTGCACACCGCAAATAAAAATACATTTTGAACGTACTCTATTACTTGAGTAATCACACAAAAAAGCACCTCCAAGGTGCTGTCGAATACTGCGCAGCCCAACTACTGGACACTGCGTTGGGTGCCCAGCCCCGACGCACCCTAGGGGCTTCGCTATTCACCGTCTTCTTTGTCACGGTGTGTCAAGAAGTCCATGGTTCATCATAAAAGCAGGTACGCCTAACAAATTTGGTGAACTAAAACTACTTATAACTAGTTAAATTAAAACGCGGAAGACAATATTAAACAGCCAATAGCATTAGTGACCCTAAAACACCCTTCCCTGCAAGCCGTGGGAAAGTTAAAATGAATGTGTAACGCAAGAAGACGTGCCTGAAGGCATGTAGGAACAAAAACAGGAGAGTGCATGACGTCACTCAGCCTGGATTGGCAAGCCATGCCATTTGTAGCCAGCGTGGTTGGTCCAACACGTAACATTTGCGCAAGATCACGCCAGTAACGAGAGTTGCCGTTATTTTGTAGTATGAGGCCCGGTAACTTTTGATTCAAACTCGCCGGTTCGTCGCAGACCAGCTGGCTCACGCAGGAGGTTTAAAAAGCGGAACGCTACTGATAGTAATGAAACCAACCGCACGCTGTGCCGTTCTGATGACGCGTTGGGCCGACACCGTTGGCTTCATTCGTGTGACATTATGCTCCCTGCTTTCTTTTCTTCCTCCATGCCTAAAGGTATGTTTCAATTCACTGCAGTTTTTTGATCACGTCAGTGTCACGGACGCAACCCTTTTCTGCATACCGTGTGTGCTTCACCCCTCCCCAGTTTTTTTTCGAACGTTATTTTTTATTCATAGTTTCCAGGTCATCAAGTTATCAATCAATGCCGCTTGCTTATTTATTTTGTGCCTATTCGATGATTCTCCAATTCAAATACACGTTGCTATAGACACTTTTATATCATCAACCACTGAGTCGTCATGTACTTTAAGCTCCAGAGTTTGTTGCGATCAAGAGAAATGTGTGAGTAATGATCATTCGCTCTCTAGCTGTTCAGTGCGTAATAATGCCAGCGCATCGTTCGTGGGCGCTGTCATCTTGTTAAAAGCGCAGCGACCAAGCGATGCCACGTGAGTGTGTAGTGTTCGTGACATATGATGCATTAAACGGCTGCCGAACAACGGCTTCGTCATTGATAATTGATTGATTGATATGTGGGGTTTAACGTCCCAAAACCACCTTATGATTATGAGAGATGCCGTAGTGGAGGGCTCCGGAAATTTCGACCACGTAGTGTTCTTAACGTGCACCCAAAATCTGAGCACACGGGCCTACAACTTTTCCGCCTCCATCGAAATGCAGCCGCCGCAGCCGGAATTCGATCACCTGAACTGCGGATGAGCAGCCGAGCACCATAATCACTAGACCACCCGCGACGGAGCATTGGCTTCTTTATTGTAACAGGATTTATCGGAGTGTTGCAAAAGGCGTGGTGCAGACAAGCAGTAATACATATACTTGATGAAAAAACAACAACAACAATATAATGCTTCGTTTCATTGAACGCTTTGCGGTCATTAATTTGTTTGTGCACTGCATGCATCTGTACACATGACGCTTGTAAAGCCTATGCTGCACATACATTGACAACGCGATGGACTGCGTTGTTGATATGTGTGAATGACAACGCGGCACATCATTAGCTCTAGCGAGCGATGTGCTAGGACTGATAGCAAATGACTAAAAGAGTTTGACTAATAGGCCTCCAGTAGCATGATTTAAGCAGCAAACCACCCCACCAAGAGCAGCACCAAAACCCACCTATTCAGTGGCAGCATACCCGGCCAAATGCTATGTCGTTTCATGCTGTTTAGTAGGGAGCACTGCAATCGCGAGCGCGCAAGCGGGCATATCACGTGTTTCTGTCTGCATTCTGTAGTTTGCAGGTACTTGAGTCAGCACGAAAACAATAATACTTGGTACCTGTAGATTTTTCAATTAATTTTTTCCCAGCATTGTGTCTTCAAAGCTGGTTGGGTACTCTTAATAATTAAACAAGATAAAAATTTAGCTTGAGTGTCTCCAATAAATGGGCATAAGCAGTCATTTGTTTGCATAGGTATATTTTAAAGCTTTGGCTGGTGTTACCAGGGCACCCAGTAAACTAAAAAAAAAAAAAAAACGCCAGGCCTGCGCAGAACGCGCAGCACAGTCAGAGTGTCAGTTCTGAGAGGGGCCTTTCATGGCCTTTTTTTTGGGTAACAGCTGCCACCTACTGGGTAATCACTACTCCATAAACAATCACATTTTTGGGTTGTAGGTCTGCCTTCACCATACTATCCTTCGTCAATATTACAGGGAGCGTGATATTTTCTACAGACCTGCTAGACTTGCTAAGTATTTATAGTTTAGTAAACGTTTGTCGCGAATGTTAGTGAGTTAACCAATAATGGTTCTTGGTTGTCGGCAATGTTTTTATACGCTTGAAGTGTTTTCTAGGCCAGTTAGTGAAAACAAGCTTTCTCACCAACAATCCTGTGCCATGCAACGACTGCTGCCTATTGACGCAGATGCGTCTGTGAGACAATTACCAATATTTACATGTGTGATAACGACTTATTTGACGTTTACTTGGAGTAGTTGAAGCTTGATATAAAATCGTTACATACACCTACTTTCAGTATATAAACAGCAGTGCTCACCAGATCTTACCAGAAGGCACGTGCCTTTGATTTGCAGCGCTGTGCACTGAATGTATGACGAAGTCGTATTGGACAGTTTTGGAAAGCTGTATTGATGCTGTTCATGTGATTTGGTAAAACTACAGCTTTCGCTAGAATTGTGTTTCGTGTTTCATCTGGTTTTCTTGTTAACGGACGTTCGCAGGTTGGTTGTTTGGTTGCGGAACTTTATTGCAGTCCTGCAGGCGGTGCGTTGAGTGCGCATAGAGCGACTCCTACGTCGGGACGTTAGGCCGAGCCTATCAGCCGCTCCGCGGGCCTGCTGGGCGGTCCAAAGTTGGTCGGCCAGGGAGGAGCTGTGCATGACCACCTCCCACCTGACCGAAGCAAGTGTCGGGGTTAGTGTACATTGCCTGCCACAGCCAGAGCATGTGGCACCAGCGTGGATTACAAAAAAGTACAAAAATATGAGCACACTAAATTCACGCCTGAAGTCGTGTTCCAACACTCGATAAAAGTGTTTAAGTACATGCTGTCCGAGTTTCATCATCATGCTCTTTGAGTGTGGGCAAGTACACTGAACGAACAGTTCCTGTAGAACTATGCTAATGCGCATGCAACAGCATTCAGGTGAAATATGAAAATTCCTTCATTACCGTTGGAAAAAAGGATGGCAATTAAAAATTTAGAATTAAAAAACTTCTAATTCCAGAGTAATTATGGAGCATGGATATTTTGCAATTCTTGCGATAAAAAACTTTTTGAGCCTCGCATATTTTTCAGGTTCCCATATTCCACACTGGAACGAAAACCATTTTAGGTGGGTTGTGAAACGGCCGTACCACATGCGGCTTGCTCAAATAGCATCGCTGCTGAAATAGGGGTGTCACAAAGGGAAGACATGACCTAAATGGAAATGAAATCAATAAGACAAATGAAATAAATTATTCATGCCATCTCTCTAACGAAACACCACAAATTACATCTCATCACAACCATAGTGCCGCGTACGAACCCCTCTGATACTTCTGCATTTTAGTGAAGTGCTGCAGCCATATCACCAGTTTTGCGCGAAGCACGAACTGCAGCTTCCTAGCCTGTATTTGTTGCAACACTGCTTACGCTGGTGCAGTTTGTCCTGCTGTTGTTCGAACGGAACTGTATCTCGGGACCCAGTGTTTGCAATATAGTATAAGGAATGCTTCAAGCCATTTCTCTAATGTGTTGAATGCACTCAAGCGATAAGGTAGTGCAACGATAAGAAAGATGTAGAACATCAGAAGGGGTCCTCAGGTCACCAATGCGAAGGTTGCACGCACCCTGTCATTTGTTTTGCAAACATTCAACTATATTGTTGCCTGGGCACAGTGTGGCTTCCAAAGATAAAATAGAAGAGGAGGCAACACTCTTTTACACTGGGGATTCAGCGCTCCACTGTTTTCTCATCATTTATTGATTCGAGGCCTGATTCTCTGATTTCTTGATTTTATTTATTTCAATGAAGCTGCATACAATGTACAATGCAAGCTATGGACCAGCGCAAGGCATCACGCAGATAAACGTCTCATTCTTCCGCACTTTCCTCGTTTTCTTCCAAATGCCTGTGAAAGTGCATTAGCGGCATTTTCGACTACTCCAGGAGGAATGGCGCCAGCACTGTTCGGTGCAATGATCAGCGTAACTGAAACGCAAAAAAGCAGTGATTTAGACAATATATATCTATATATATATATATATATATATATATATATATATATATATATATATTATATATAATATATATATATATATATATATATATATATATATATAATATATAATATTATACACAAGTGCGAAAACTTTGACATCCCATCTCTTTCTTATTCGTACAGTTTCTATTTCCTTTGCCAGCGTTATAACTCAGAATAAATATTTTGAAAAGCCGAACTCACAACAATGCAATAATTTGCCCAGCACATGCATGGGTCTATCACAGCTAACTGGATAGCATTTTTTATTTCTCTAAAGAGCTGGGTTGTTATTTGTAGGCACCATTCAGGCTATTTGAAACTTCAGCGTGTTTTTCGCACCATTTCCGACATGGCGCGGAAAGTG